GTTTCCTACTGTCCCTGTATCATGTTTAGTTAGTGTGGATCTTCTTGTTTTGGTATTTACTTGATGTTCTTACTTCCTGTCTTGCTGAGCATCTTGATTACTTAGCGTCTTCCTCTTTTCCTTCGTCCGTTGTGCTCCTCTGTTCATCTGAATTTATTCTTGTGCTTTGTATTAATTTTGGGATTTCTCTTTTTTTTATGCTTTGTTAATGTTTGCACTTCCGAGACAGTAGAAAGCTGTTCTGCTCTCCATTTAGGTCAACCTCTGAAGGAACCAAAGAAAATAAAGACCAAAATTTGTCCCCGATTTCACACATGAGTAATCAGCAATATCCAAGCCCTAAAAAAAAATCACTAATGGACATTTCCATTACGCTTCTATGGAATAAAAATCAGTGTTACCTAAGTTTCCATTTTGACTATCAGAAGCTAAGAGCTATGATAGCACAATTACCCAAATAGGTAGGAAATGTTTGGTCATGAGAGTGCTGTGACTCACTCATATCTATTTATGATACAAAGGTCTGCTGAGTCATACCCAAGCACAAATAGGGTTGCTGACGGTGATCATTGCAAGAACGATGATACAAATCTCTGAACAGATCACCCCAACATTGATGTTTGGACTTTGTAAGACAATTACAGAGTCATTACAGTATTAATCAGGTGTAAAAGTGGGACTTAACATGTGGGAGAACTCTAAGAACGGGCGTGGCAGTGCAGCACGGTGAAAAGAAACACTTCAAAATAAATCATGTAGTAAAGTTATTTTCTTTGTGTTTCTTAGGTTTACTACTCTTTGTTGATTTAGACCATTTAATGTAACGAGATGTAAACAGATGTTACTGCATGTGTGCTATCATAACTGTGTTCCTGCCCTTAGCCAATGTGAATGCAGGAAACTAAACAGCATCATCAGCCTAAATTTAAACTGACAGCTGCTACCGTTGATCTCACTCAGTGGTTTTCACACTTTTTCTGACATGTCCAACTCCAGAAGAAGAAAAAAAGTTGACAGTTTTTATCAAACATTAACAATAAAAAAAGGATCTGTGTTGAATTTAACTATTAACAAAAAAAAAAGGTGCATATCATCAATTCAATTTCACTAATTATCTCTTGTTTTTTTCACATTTTTCACATGGTTATTCCCCCCGTCATCACCACGGCCTGCACTACGGTTTGATAATCCAAAGGCCCCATTATGCTCAACGTTCTCCCCATGGTGAATAGCACAACACGACAAAGTGACATCGCTCTGGTGGCAGTTCATCAGGTTGCGCACCTCTCGAGAAGCACACATGCTGTAGCCACATCCAAGTTTAAGACACAAGTGTACAACTGACTCGGTTTTTGTCACCATTTCAATGACATATCAGTACAGGAAGTCAGAGATTCAAAGATTATACAGTGGAAGGCCTTCCAACAGTTTGGAAAGATGAGACTTTCTGGAAAACAAAAAACCCTCCTGTTTTGACTTCTTCTTGTGCCGTAGGTGCTAATACAAGATCTGTGGTGAGGGCGAAGCAGTCAAAGCAGCGGTTATACTGGGGCCATGAAGACCACTGCCTGCTCTGCACCAGTCCAACATGGACTCCAACTGGACAACAATAGTGCTAAATAACAAGTATAGCTTACACTAAACAGCCTATCATTGTCATACTATTAGAATGATTACAATGATTGTACTACAATTTTGTTTTTTGACACCAGATACCTGGTTAACCAGATAAGATCCACCGCAGTTAACATAAGGACATCACACCTGAGGATTGAAGATTTAGGCTATCAAACGTCACTTGCTGAGCAGTGCTTCCCTTTAAAAACACTGTTGTTTTTGCTCACTTGCACCCACGGTAGTAACACAAACACTGTTATCATTAGGACAAAAAGACAGAGAGAAAGCCACTGTGCAAACATCTTCCCATTCTTAGAGGTGATATTTGAAGGTAACAACATGCTTCAAGGAGCTGTTCTATGTTTCATAACAACACAAGCTGAAGATCCTTTTCACCTCTGACCAAAAGCTTACACAAACAAAACAGTTAACTAGAATTCTTTCAGGGGCCTGACAATAGCTGTGCTCAAAAGGCAGAAGAGACAAGAACAAGACCTGCAATGACCAGCGTTTACTGAAGACGAAAGAGGACGACAATGTTGAAGAATCAGTGCTTCTCTCTTTTTTGCACAAACTGAGGTAAATCATAAACCATCCATAAAAAATATATTCCAAGACAGATTGTTTTCCTTACCTACCTTGCTCTGATATTCTTCAAAGCGGGCTACATTCATTCACTACTAACTAATGTACATGGAAATGTATACATCCTTTTGAGACGCAATAGTGGGATGAAGAAATGCATTTGTAAATACGCTGACAACGTCTAGCACTGCATTTAATCAAATGTGTTTTTGACGTGATATATCACATCTCAGCTCTAAACATTCGATGTCCGGACGGCGCGTGATGCCTTTCTCTCTCACTCGACCACGCAAAGTGACGCTCGAAAAGCTTTCTTACACTCTTCCTCAACTTCCCCACCTTTTCTTTCTGTGCGGCTGCTCTCTGTCAAACTGTGGAAGCCATGGGTGGGTTGCGCCTAAACTCAAGGCCTGAGCAACAGCTGCAAAGCAAACCTGCTAAATTAACCGGGTCTCCATGAGCTTCACATATGCATTATTCTAATCAAAGCATATTAGATCATCCAGATACCTTAGACATATGGGTCTCTGTATTCTCATGCCGTCACCATCTGTTTCTCCTCCCCTGTTTTTTGAATTTTTTCCCCCCGTTGCTCTCCATCTGAGTAAATCCCTTGTTCACACAGCTGCCTTTCTGAGAGACTGGCATAGATTTCTAACATCGCAACTACTTCGTGATACGTTTCTACATCGAGTCAAACTTGGAGCACCATATGTGTGCATAACCACATGTTATGAGTTTGAGCTACATGGTGGATGTAATTCCAACTAGTTTGCAGAAAACGTACGCACATTATGTGCCTCGTGTCAGCTCAAAAGGAGACGAAATCCACCAACAAACTGTTCACAAACAAATTATCCTCTCAAAGAGAAACTGACAGAAAATGTTCAATTCTTATAAGATGCTGAAATTTTCAGATGAACAACAAAAATCCTGTTTTTCACCTACTCAGTTTTAAAAGCTACTATTGAATGAAAATCAGCATTTACATAATGAATATATTAAAATCATTTGTATTTTAAAGTTGCTTGCTCCTGGTTGTCTGTTTATTATCAGCGCCAATACAATCTACGATGTTGTAGCAGGATTTGTGCATATTTGGTTCAGTGACGTGGACGTGGAGGAGGAGGAGGAGGAGTGCATGAGAATGAGCACAAATCATTGTAGTTGTGCTTCTGCAAGGATTTTAGACGTTAACCAGAGTTACAGGGATATACAAGACAACCTAAACATGCAACATACACAGAGTATTTCCCACTGCCTCTCAGTCTGCCACTTTTATTTACTCACCAGAGCTGTTTCTACTAACTCTATCTTTAAAATGTCTCAGGTATGAGCAAAGCAGAAGTGTGAACACAGGAAGACAGAAAGTTGTAAAGAAGCAAGGTGAAAAGTGAGCAGGCAAGATGTCTGCAAACTGTCTATTTCTGCAGCATTTTGATGGACACTGTTTTCACTCATCAGAATTAGGATTTTAGTTTATTACATATACATTTGTTATACAGTGATTCTCAGCTGGAGAAGGGTGGAGTGGGTCTTGTACGCAAGTCAGGAGATAGGATTGACAGACTCCACTAATTAATGGAGTTAAGATAACTCTAAATTACCCATAGGTGTGATTGTGAGTGCGAATGGTTGTCTGTCTCTCTGTTTTAGCCCTGCCTCTGACTGGTGACCTGTCCAGCGTGTACCCCAGCGTCTCACCCCATCGTAACTGGGATAAGTTCCAGGCCCCCTGCTACCCTGATAAAGATAATTGGAAGAGAATGGAAGGATGGATTTGTATGACTCATATCCTGCTTAGATTTGTTTCCTGTTACATTATTATTACTAATAAATGTCATAATACTGGGTGGCATACAGAAACTGTATAAACTTGGAGAAGAGACCAGTAAAGAAGGAATGGGTGTGGGTCACATTTTATGCTTCAGTGCAACATAACTTACCTGAGTTTTTTATTTTTTGACATTACACATCCAAATATAAGTTGTAACTATGTAGAAACTTCTGCAGAAGTCTGTTGCTCTGGATCTGATTGTGCTTCAAATGTTAGTAACTGGCATCTTTTCTAAGGCTGTCATTATATTCAGGACCTTGGGTTGTGGTGCATAACCAGTGTTTTTTTGGTCTTGTTTTCTCTGTGCAAGCTGAAAAATCAAAGCAGACGGTGCTTTTCATGATGGGGGCTTTAAAGAGATAGGGCATGAAATGCAGTATTTTAGATAGAGAGAGAGAGAGAATATACTTTTTGAACAATAAAACATGTTAAACGATTCTGCTAGACATTCAAAATGACAAAACACACACACACACACACAAACATGCTTCTATATACTCTGAAAATCTGTTTAGGGAACATGCTTGCACTTGTGACTGCTCTCACTACAGCTGAAATCATGACTTCCATTTAATCCCAAGGTGGAAAGCTTTAGTTACTGGACATTTAAATCATCACACCATGAGACAGGATCCCTTAACACACGCTCAAATAACTGACAAGCAGCCATCAAATCAGCAGTGGTTCTGCAACACAGTTTTTGACAACACAAACAGTTTTATCGCTGCGTTTCAACTGCCCAGCTGTTCAAGCAGTAACCATTTAAGCAGTTATAGTGGGGTATGAGCGAAATATTTTTGCTTTATTATGTTTTTTGGAAAAGTCAATATCAAACCAGATTATGAAACAGATAAAATACGGAGTGTGCATCAGAGAATGCTTTTAGTGTTGTGTTTTTTGTCCTGCGGTGGTTGGATTGTGGGTGACAATGAAATCCAAGCACAGAAATTCAGGCACCTACCAGAGTTGGTGATGGTTAACAGGTCTAGACGCCTTTGTTGCTGAAAGAAAAGGAGAGAATAAAAGAAGTCAAATGTCATGAAATAATCAATCACAGTTCTCATTTATAAACCCTGCAGAGATGCTCAAATTTGCCAAATTAGTTTGCTGAGTTTAACAGCTTTCACAGTTGATGGTAAAATAAGATTCTTTACTAAAGTTATTATTTGTCATTTTTTGACGCTCTGTGGGTAATTCTGTATCGACGTTTGTTAACATGTGTGGCGCGGCTGTGTTTGTAGTTGTATTTTAAGAGTACTGTGATGTCTCAAAAA